GTTTGATTATTGTAGAATATCATATGGGTTTAAACTAAAGGTTTTATGTATTTAAGTATCAATACTTAAGAAAACAAAACTGCACCATTTAGCTGACATACCTTACTGTTGTTAGCTGAAGTTAAGCTGAACTGGTTTGTAAGGAGCAAACTTGAATTACAGAGGTTTATTCTGTTCATATCAGCCTTAGAGTAGTGCAAGGTTTGTTCTTTAAATTGGGGTCTGTGCTGAGGTTCACAGTAGACGAGCTATAAATATTGATGATGTGAATACTTTTTTAGATAAAGACAACTGGAGGAGGGAGAGGGAGAACGTCTTTTCTGTAACTGCAGTTGCAGCTCTTAATAAAACTTAATAGTTTACCAGTGGAATAGTGTGTGAGGTCAGATGGAGCTCAGACTAGGAAATAACACAGTGATTCATTTTTCCAAAGCAACTTTGCTTTTCTTTTGCCTTTAAGCAATACTTAATTGGAAAAGAACAGAGTAATATAAGTAGAATGCTTTACTTGTTGCTAACTTTTTCTCCTGCTTAATTTTTTGTTGCACTGCACTTAATGAATTACAAAAATCTTCAGTTAGGTGGACAACCTTTTAAAACAAAGGTTATTTATTTTTTTTTACATTTACTGCCTTTTGACTTTTTCTTTTGACAGCAGGAACAAAAGGACACTTGTTTTTATATTCTTACTTGGCCAGAATACAAATCAAAATAGCAAAATAACTACTGCATTTGGAGGGTGGCAGCTTTAATAAATCAGTTAAATACTTCAGAGTTCATAGTTCTTCCTGTTTTCAGTATGGGGAATATTTTATGAATGCTTTAATGCTTTACCTCGATTATCACCTTGAAGACTTGAGACAAAGTGTAGCACTGTTCATTTTATAGTATCTGCAAAAAATTATTGATTTCCTCTGTAAATCACTGGAAATTATTAGAAATATGCATTTTTCAACAAAAATAACTTTTCACTTTATTGCTGTCATGGATTTTTCATTTTTAAGGAAAACTGCTCTGGAGTGCTATGAACAAATGAATAGTTGTTACAGACTGCTATTAAAACCACTGGACATTGCTTTAGAGTGGTGTGAATCTCCTGCCCCAAAGGATCTGTCACCATACTCCAGGTTCAGTAAGTCTCTGAACTAGCATCAGCTTTGAGCTGTGCAAAAGTTTAAAAGTTGATGAACCATCAATTTTCTGTGCAAGGCCACCAGTGGTACTGGTTCTGTAGATTTTTGATGAGATGGACAATGAAAATGGACAATTATCATTTGTCACTGAAAAGAAATTGAGAAGTGATGAGAACGGCCTTGAAAATTGACATAACCCTTTTTAGTTTGAATTTCCACGAACTCACCTTTGTAGCTGTTCCTAAGGACATGGCACTAGCCTCAATCAGTTTTGAAATTTATAAATATAGGCATCGTTGATCTCTCCTGTGGTATGTGGAAAACCATTACACAATTTTTTTGAAGGTGTAATGAATTCTGAATCCTTGATGTACTGTGGGGGCTTTCTTTTCAATTGTTTATTTTACTACCCTGCATCTGAGAGCCCTTTCTCCTCAGTGGTACAATCATAATACACTTGCATCAGTTATGTTAGGTCTTTAATTCTTTCTCCCTCCTTCTGAAAAAGCACTTCATGTACTTCTCCTGGAACTCTAGGAGTAGTTATAAAAAAACTCTGTGCCTCCTCCTCTTGATCTTCTTCCCTTGATCTCTTTCCCCTTGTTTCTTCTCCAAGAGCTCTAGAAGGGTGTTGGAACTGGCCAAATAAAAGAGAGGATGAAGATGGCTTGCATGTCAGGGTGCTTTTTCAGCCTTCCCTGGATGTGTCAGTATCCCAAATGGAATTTGCCCATGTAAAACAGTGCAAAATAAAGGAGACTGGATTGATAAACAGGCTATTGAGTTACACTTGTTTTCAGTTTTCTGTATAAATTATCCCATTATTTGCTCATGGATCAAGTCAAACTTGATACTGTTTTTGTTCTAGATTATTTTGCCAAAGCACTGTTTAACTCGTTCACCATGTTGGAAGTGTTTTTCTTTGATAGTGTGTCAAAGCTTATTGAAGTTCTTGACATTGACTACTGTATTAAATATAAAATATTGCATCCTAAAATTGTCTCATGCTAGTTTATGTGGCTGTTTTCTTTCGTCTGGGAATTTTACAGACGTGTTGTAAGGCAGCTGCTGTTGGAAACCTGCTGCTGTGTCTTGGAAGCCTGCTGAAGTATCATTCTTTGTATGAGCTTTCAAACTTGTATTTGGCTGAAGACAACAGAGAGATTCAAATCTGAGGTGCCAGAGTATGCTGATGAGGAACTGTTTTAACTGAGGTGTTTTATTTAGTCAGTCTTGTTACACTGTTTTGATCGTTCAGGCTGGTGTGACATATCCGTATGGAGCCAGGCCTCATTGGAATCCTACTTAAAGGCAGTTTGGAGGCAATTTTCTTTCAAGACTGATTTATCCACAGACAGAGACCTGCTTCTGTCTTGTGATATTTTGTTGAGTTGTTGTAAACTGAATAGCATTGCTGGATACCTTACATGAGCAATACTAAGCTCTCAAATGAAGTGTAATAGCACCTATATAATATAATAATTTAACACCTAGTTCCTTTAATATTATTTTTCTGGTTCAGAGATTCCTGTATCTTGAAGACTTTGTAGTATAAATGCAAATCAATAGCTTTGGTAATGGAATTTATATGTGCAATACAGTCTTCTATGACTAAATGTTTCAATCACTTTACAGAGCTTACTTATTATTGTTTACTCCCTGACCTCATAAGGAGAAGATGGAAACTGTGCTGTCCTTAGCAGCTGCAAACTCTTTGAGGCTTTGATGGCTGTTGTGATTACCATTGCCACTGACAGGCTGCTGTAGTGAAAAGAAAAGGAAGGGAAGCGTGAACCCTGGGGCCGCATGTGATACGGTATCGCAGCGCAGGACAGCGCGGATCTGCACTGTGTGCGATTACCAGACAGTAAATCAGCTGCGCTGTGCCAGAGCCAGAAAGCAGGAGCTTTCACACTTGCTGCCTGTTTCCCACTCATTGTAAAGCCCTGCCCTATCACTTGATAGACCTGGAAAGGAAGCACAGAGGAAGCAAGTGCCACTGCTGGTTCAAAATGTTCCAGGGCGACTGGAAACTTTGAGCAATGGCCTGGGTGAGAAGAACAAGACCTTATTGACAGGGTTCAATCCTAGTTAAGTCTGTTTCCCATCAACTTCCTAAGTAATCACAGCCTTACTTTTTTCATCTCCTTTGCACTGTCTGGGTCTCCCACTTTCACCTCCTTTTTTAAAATTTTATTTATAATTTTATGTTGTAGTGGACTGAGAGACCAAGGGGAACTAGGAAGTTTTTCCCCTCTCTGCTAAATCCTAGAGGAATTGCCAGTGAAAAAGATGACAAAAGTGTTAATGGTGGCTGTCATCTCCCCCTTTGTGCCCACGTTTCTCCAGATTTTCCATTGAATATTCTTTGAATTTCTCCTTTCAGTAAGGCCTTGTTCATATCATTTGATCTACATATTCTTCCAGTGAAGCCATGGCACGTGTGGTTTGTTATTTTCCCAATTAACCAGTGTCATAGACTGCTATTACAGGGCTATAGCCCTGTTTAGATCTGTGGTCACATGTGTACATGTAGTGGGAGAAGGATGGAAGCTGAAACTTTCTTGGTTTCTAGACTGTGGTTTCTAGGCCTTCTAGACTGTGTGAGACTTTATGACACGTTTTTACTATGAATTAATTCCTTTTCTAATGCTGCTCTTTTAAACATAGAGCAATGTGGTCCTTGTGCACTGTACTGTGCCATTTTGCATATACCTAACAATAGGATTTTGCCATCAGTGCAGAAAGCAATTTCTCTTGGCAGTCCTGCTCCTGTAGGGTCTCCTAGAACATCTAAAATTTCTTAGTTTAGTATGTTATACTTCTTAGGCTCTCTATGAGCCAAAAAAAACCCCAAAATAAAATAAAAAAATCACTTAATATGAGGTAAAAAGTTTTTTCTCTGGAGCAACATGCTTTTAAAGAATGATCAGAGATGTCTGTTTAGTTTTGTCCTTAAATGTCTCTGGCCATGATTATGACAGAGCAGATCTGTGTAACAGAGTTTGAACCTGTAAGCATAGGTGGAATCTCATTGTTTTTATGGTCTTTTTGTAGCAAGTCATTTTGGTCTGCTGGAATACATTCACATATTCGATATGACTTACTGTTTTTGGTAATCCTGGCAATAGTGATGCCAGGAGAATCCTCTTGTTTCAGGAAAACATGTGCTAGCACATATTTTAAAGTATTTGCTTTCGAGGAGCTTAATGATTTAAGTTTGACAAGGATTTCAAAGGTGAAAAAATAAAAGAAAAATCTGACATTAAATGACCCAAATTCTCAACCTTCAATGATACATACTTAAACTCTGAAAATGGCTTTTATTTTTTAGTTTAAATATAAGGTGTGTTAGGCATGTTTTTGAGAACTCGGTAGGTCAGGCAAGGCAGAATTATTGCTGCCTTCAGAAGCCTTGTAGAAGGAGCACCTGGGCAAGGGAGATGCCAGGGTGACAACGTGCTACAGAGGCACACTGGTTTGCAGAGAATGCCAAGCTTGTGCTAATTTTTTTTTTTAACATGTTTTTCCTTCCCTATCTCCAAAATAGTTCAAATTCAGTGACCGTGGTTAGGATATTTTGGAAAGATAGTCCCCAGGCACTTTATAATGGAACTTGGGAAGAGATTCAAGAGATGGGAGTTTGTAAGCAAGTCATCTTAAAATATACTGCTTCATCGTCTAAAATTAACTAAAGACAGCCTGTAGTATTTTTAGGTTGGTGTATGAATCTGGAGAAATCAAAGTATAAGCTTGTTCTACTCACTAAAATTTTTTTTCTTCCCTCTTTTGAGATCTTAAGCAGTCCAAATCTCTCAGGCCTATTCAATGTATTTCTAACATTTTCCTATATCTTACTCTTCCCAGGATGGATCGTACTTGGCCGAGTTCCTGTTGGAAAAAGGCTATGAGGTGAGTGACTCGGTGACTGGCTGCAGGCTGATGGAGTCATTTGGATGCTGCAGCTCCAGCCCGCTTCCTCTGCTTCTGTCCTTCTCTGTGTATGTTTTCCACTCCAGTCCAAGATAACAAATCAAAACTCCAGAGAGGAATGTGCAACATGGCCTGTAATCATGCCAGGTTATTGTACTATTTATCATCTAATGTCCACTGGTGGATTCCCTCTTCTCCTCGGGGTATAGCTGCTTTGCATGTTTCCCGCCAGCTCAGATAAGCAGTGACCTGTGTGAGCCAAAACTGTAAGGAATTAGGGAATAATTTACGATGAAATGTATCACATAAAGGAATAAGAATCTGTTGTTTGTTCTCTTTCCCCACCTCTCTCTCCACAGTAAAAGCCCTTTTATTTTGGCAGTTATGTTTCAGCAATGAAAACCTTGCATTTTCACTTTCTCTGTTCAAAAAGGAAAAAACAAGCCCTAACAACAAACCCCAAACAAGGTGTACTTTGGTACAGTTACTTTCTACTTTTTCTCTTGGATTAATTAATTAATTATTGCTTAGCACATGGTTTTCACTTACTTATTCCTTGAAATAAAGGGAGTCTGATTCCTGCTTGCTGCATAATTTTCCCTGGCAAAAATCACATTTCTTGTGGTCCAGCAAAGCAATAATCACAGTGTTGCCATTCTTATGGTATGATTTGAGGGGATTGAACTGATGTGGGCATAAATGTAAGAATATTTGCCTTCTTGGTCATACAAGATGCTTCTAAAATGTATGATAATGGAAGAAAAGGGGGTGGTCAAAATAATTGCCCCACAATTTAGTATTTTTCTGGGGTTTAGTGAAAGTCAGTGCTTGTTTTAATATTGAGTTTTATTCTGTTGTAATACTGCTTTGTAGCTTAGTGAGGAGTCTCTTCTCAGCGAGTCTGTGCTTCTCATACTTTTGTACCATGTTAATCTTGCCTTGATTATTCCATCTTTTTTTTTTTGCTTTATTGTTTAATTTGTTTATTGAAGTTGGTTTTTCAGTGTTGTAAATTGATTATTTTTTACTATTTCTCCATTCCATTTGGGGATGAGAGATATTATTGTGGTTGCTTTTGCTACTTTGAAGGCAAAAGTACATATTCTCCCATAGTCCACAACGAAGCTGGGAGCCGACAACAGCCAATGAAACATAACCCTTTCAAAGGTTACTATAGTTGGGTAGAGGTTTTTCCTTCTGTTCTTCAGTTCTCCATCAATTTCTTGGAATGCTTCCCTGTGTTCCCATTTAGAAGCCTCTGTTCATAAATAACTGAACACAAGCATGCATATGATAACTGATTGCCTGCCTAATTAAGATGCTTCATTTGACTTTTTTTTAAAAAAAAAACTTCAATGTGTTTGAAGATCTGGCTCTGTTGAGAAAAATCCACTGATACATTCTTGACTAGATTAACCAGTCTGCACACATTTTGGCCTGTCACAGAGTTTGCGTTTCACTTGTCCCACACAGACAAAAGTACCTTTCATCAGTTTTCTTACGGTAATATTGCTGTCATGGATTAAGCATTCGGCAGGTTTTCTTGCTCTTATGTGTGCATACCAGAATAAGGAGTGGGAGAAAAATAAAAAAAAAGAAAAGAAAAAAGAAAGCAGCAGGGCTCACATGTTTTTTTGTTATCGCTGGATGTAACAGGCTCTCTGGATTTGTCTGTTTACTGAATCTTTTGAAGTCCTGGGATGGTTGCATTCAGCACATCTCATTGGTCAAAAGTTTGTGTCACAGTCATGAGCAGACACAAAGTTCTTGCAAGCCCAGTCTTTCATCAGGCTTTTTAGATGGCGAGATTTGACTTATTGGTCAAGCATTCAGATGAACATGAATTCCAGCATGACTTAATTCAGAGATAGATAATTGTGTGCTCAAGAAGTCTCTCATGAGAACTTTAAGCCAAAATTTTGCTAGAAGAATCACAGAATAATTTAGGTTTGAAATGACCTCCAAGATCATCCATTCCAACTGTTTACCCAACACTGCCAAGTCCACCACTGAACTGTCTTCCTAAATGCCAGATCTACTTGTCTCCTAAATACCTACAAGGCTGGTGACTCAACCACTTCTCTGGGCAGCCTGTTTCAGTTCTTTGAAACTGTTTCTTTGTTTCTTGAGTACTTAAAATATTTTCAGCATCATTTGTAAAAGTGAAGTTATTGTGAAAGTGAAGTTGTTATGAAAGTGTCTTTTTTAGAAGTGTTTCTCTGTAAACTTGATGGCCCTATAAATTTTCCACACAATCTATAAAGAATTATTTTTATAGAGGTTTTAATTACATTTTTTTTATACTGTATCTTCAAAAATCCATTATTTGATGGAAATTTCTTTTGGAGGGCACATTTCTCAGTGCCTCATTGATCCTGAAAGTGCAAATGTTTTATGCAGTTGTGGAAAGTTTAGTTTGAATTGTAGAATGTGGTATGTTGTGAGCAATGTGACGAGACACACAAGAGATTTCTGCAAGGAAATTGGCATCATAAATTTGACCTGTAAGTTGTAAAGATGAAGTTATTGAGCTCTTCTAAATCTTGCCACCAAAATGTCATTCTTAAATCAGCAAACTGGTCTCAATCTGCAGTTGTGTGCACTTTTTTATGTGGTTAAATTTTTGACTTAAGATGAAATGACATTTTTTTTGTCAATTACCATAGCTTGTGTTATGTGTAAAACAAAAATCCTCAAACTAAACCAAAACACTACCTGTTCCTGCTTCTATATTCTTGCAAGTCAACATCAAGTGGGAGAGTGAAGGGATGGCCTCAAGAAACCAAGCCTAGGCATTGAAGCATCGAAGTACAAGGGATCACTTTCAGAAATAAAAGCCAGGGAGAGGTGGAGGACAGTCAGATGATTAAGCTTGATTTCATTTGTGCAAGCACAACATCTGTAGCTGGTAACCAAAGCTAACATGAATTCTGGCAGCAGGCATCATGGGGCTATCTTACAGGACAGGAGGAAACAGAATCAATGTTTGAAAAAATTCTGTAATGTTTTAGGCACAGACAGTCTTTTCTTTAATGTTAGTCAGAACCAGTTTAGCTTTTTTTCACCAGTTTATTTATCGTGGCAGGTTAAAGGAAATTCCCAACCTGGGTTTCGGCCTTAGGCTTGTCTCTGTCTCTTGTAACCCACTGGAGAACAGTGACTCATGAGGTCTACAAAACAGCACTGACTGTTCTGGCTGTTCTTCCAGCACCCCAGAAAGTGAATGACAGCTCATTTTAAAAATACATTTGGGCCTTGCCTTGTCTCCCTTCTTTCCTCTTGTCTCCCTTCTTTCTCCCTTTCTCTTCTCTCTGCCCACTCTGTCCTTTCCACAGCCCCATCTCCTGCTGCTGCTTTTTCTATGCCTGTCTCTGCCTCCAGAATGACTTCTCTACAACCCAGGAGTAGTAGTTTTCTTGGCATTCACACATTGCTTCTCCAACTCCAGTAAAGTTGTGAAGCCTCACTCACTAGGAGATGGTGCTCTGGGGCAAATTGGTGTTTTTTCTGTGCTGGGTGTGATGTTTGGGCTGCTAGTGGTGTCAACAAGGGAGAAGGGGAAACCACTCAATGGTGCTAAAGTAAATATGACAACACCTGACCTCATCTCCCAGTATCATGTTTGTGAATGGATAACTGTCCTTCTTTAGGAAGAGGGATGAGCTCTGATTACCTGATGAAAGGGTTAGGCCCATGTACATGAGGATTTTGAGTGATGGTAATGAACACTTTCCTCTTAATGTTTACCACTTTTCTATCTTTCCTTGTACAATCCCCAGGTGCATGGCATCGTTCGTCGGTCCAGTTCCTTTAATACAGGCCGGATTGAACATCTCTATAAGAACCCACAGGCTCACATTGAAGGAAGTAAGACTTGGCTTTTATATTTAAGGTGGTATATATTATATTCAGTCTGGGCTGTGTGTTTGGTGGAGAAAGGTCCTTGGGAACAGGAAGGGAATTGAGTTCCATTCTGCTAGTGTTAGTTAGCTGCTCTATCTCAGAAATAAAAATGACCATTTTTCTCTGAAGGAGATGTGGCATGAAATATCAATACACTTGTGTGTGTGAGTTTTTAAAAGTGAGAAAATGTGAGAGGGACCCAGGAAAGCACTTTATGTTGTGTAGAAATGCTGCCACAATTCAGAAATAGCTGGGCAGTTAGAAATTGGCTGGGGCTGGAAAATGGTATGTGAGGTTAAAAATTTTCAAAGTAGTTAAACATGGGGTTTTTGAGGTAGTTATCTTGTGTTTCCTCATGAGCACCATGATGTCTGATGGAGGTGAAGGTTTGGAAACAGCCTGTATGAGAGCATGAATAAGACATGATCAGTTCTTACTGATGACGAGAAGAATGGATCTTTGGACCCTCTGAATTCCAGCACCCAAGGAAGGGAAGACCTGCTTTACCTGAAGGAAAGGCATTGCTCTTGGAAATTTGCTGACAATTTACTGTATTCTCTGGTACCAATAATCTGATAATCTGCGAAGTTGAAATTACTGCCTTTATTGTACACATGGCAAAAAAATTGTTTATTTTATCCTAAAGGAAGTTAACTCATCTCTTAATGAGAAACAGCTCAAATGTTGGATAGCTCCAGTTCAGCAGAAGGATTGAGCACTTTAACAAGCACACAGTTCTCCATGCTATGTCTATTTTGTAGAGTTCTGCAAGCTGTCATAAATAGTTCAGTTTAAAGCATTGTTAACAACAAGTATTTCCACGGTGTAAAAAATCATGTCTTTGAAGCCTGCTTCACACCATGGTTAAACAGAGCCTAATTTTATCAAGTTTAATATATAATGCAATTTATAGATTTCCTTTGGTCTTTTTTTGTAATTTTTGTTTAAAAAAATGTTTCATTTATGACATGGTATTGCTCTGAATAGTTGCTATTTACTGTACAGTGCTCATTAATGTATCTGATTAGGAGAGGGGTAGAATTGAACAAAATACCTTTATGAAGAATACTGAAACCTGTTTTTCTGTCAAGAACAATGTAAGAACTGTTTCCCATGACTTGCATTCTTGGCTCACAAGGTAGAATGAAGAAAATGAAATCAAACAGGAACCTGTGCATTGTGAGGACCATCTTGTAGTTATGAAAAGTGATTTCAGAAGACAATGTAGATCCCAATAAATATATATACAAACATTTAAGGAAAGGAATGGAAGGAAGAAAAGAGAAAGCAGAGGTTAATTTTTTTTCCCCACTTCTTATCTCATTTTCCTTTAACTGAAGAATGTAGCCATATGAATGGGAGGAGAAAGAATTGGACTTGGAATCTCAGGAAAGGCTACTCCATGGAAACTGTTTGAAAACAATGGGTTTCCAGGCAGTACTGGAGGAAGCAAAGAAGCAAAAGTGATTGATGTGAGCAAACCCTAATTTTATCTTTGCCATGTGTGTTTTTCCCATGAGGAATCAATTGCATGCTCCAAGATGGTGTTCTCCATAGACAGTGAACCTCTCTGTGTGAAAAAAGTAGGGAGCACAGGAAGGAAGACAAGGTGTATCCTAGAGCAAGCCCTCCAGCTGTTGCTTGCTAAGGAGGATTTTAGATTGGGTAATATTACTAAAGCTCAAAGGTTCTGGCATTTGATATGTATTTATGAATCTGTGCACCAAATAAACCCCATTTCTGGTAAGTCTTTCTGCTTAGCCTTTTCACTCTTGGAAGGCCATCTTTTTCATGGGTCAGGTGGGAACACAGCTTCATTCCTTGCTCTCCTGCAGAATGGCCATTTGGACCAGAAGCTTTGAAGACTTGATGGTGAATCAAAATAAGCACACTCCTTGAGAGCATTAAATGGATGGTAATAGTGGGCTGGTGTCCCTGTTTCCTGGGTCAGTGCAGCTGGCAGGCCACCTTTCCTGGGAAGCTCTGAAACTGCTCTCTGGCTTGGGAGTCATGGCAGGACTGCATGTCTTTGCTGTAGGAAGAGGAACACAGGCTCTGGCATCTCTTTCCTGCCTAGCATTTCCTAGCATAGCCACAGCTTCAGCTGGGTCTGAAGTCTCTTCAGAATTTCCTTTTCAACTGATGTGGATGTAAAAACAAATTTCAAGAATATATCATGTATTACTTTAGCAACCTGAAGAGCCTCATGCACATGTTTTATGGCAATGTACAGGGCTGAACATCTGAGAACCATATGATCTGTTCATTTCCTTGCCGTTTTATACTGTTAAAAAAATGAAAAGAAAAAAAGAAAAATCTAAACCCGCATAAATAATACCTTAGCTCACGTATCTCAACAGCAGTTAAAAAATGTATTGTGGTTTCACATAAGCCTGGTATTTAAGAACAAAAATATTATTATTAAGGTCATAAACATCAAATGAAAATCTATATAAATATGACAAGTAAACATAAACAGCTAATTCATCAATAGTTATAACTTTTTTTTGCAAAGATCTGTAAATAGCAGTGTGGTTGTTTGGTTTGTCAGTTTTATTTTAAATAAGAGCAAAAAGGAGATCTGTTATGTGAATTTCACTTTTGCAGTATCTTCTTGACAGGTCAGGGTCTGAAAACAAGGACAACTTGATAAACCATTTCAACTTGCTCTTTAAATTTTGACAGGAACTGGTTTCATTCTCTTACCCGCTTTTTTATACACCAATTAGAAAGAAACTGAAGTCTGGAAAAGATAAATAACATCTGTATCTAACAAATTTTGAGATTTTGATGCATAGTATCACAAACCATGTTTCACTGACAGTTAGACTGTTTTCTTCAATTCCCTTCCAGTGTGCATCTGTATTTTTTAAAATGGAAAAACAAAAGTAACAAATGCAGAAGGTTGTACTGTAATGTTATCTAAATGTTCATCTAGTAGATACCTTACACATTTTTGTTGTGTTGTGAAATTACAGTGAGAAATTAAAACATGTGCAGTATTTTGGAAAGGAGAAGAAAGCCATTGATCTATGCTTCAGAAGTTATTAAAGCATTTTTGAGTGAAAGATTGGAACACCAAACTGAAAAATGCCCCATTTTTGTGACTAGAATTCTGTATCTGACATTGAACTTATTTATACAACCTGGGAAAATTAAGTGTAAGCTATTAAACAAATGATATAAATGTTGCTAGATAAATAAGATTATTGAAAAAAGGACCTGAAATGCCATTGATTACTCCTATGGGGAAATTTATTTTGTGGTTAAAAGCAGGGGAGAAATAAAACCAAGCAAAACCAAGTTAACTGGTAATGTCTTGACTTTTTACGATAAATATTTACTCAGACCTTGACCTGACATAGGATATGGACCAAGAATGCAATATTGTTCTGAGATTAAAGTGTATTAACTCTGTGTTCTTAAACTCTGAAGACATGAAGCTGCACTATGGGGATCTCACAGACAGCACCTGCCTGGTGAAGATCATTAATGAAGTCAAACCCTCTGAGATTTACAACCTGGGAGCTCAGAGCCATGTCAAGGTGAGTAAACCTCTCTAGCACTGAGAATTGTGAATGTGTTGCTGGTGTTGGTGTCTGTATATTACCTTGATTATTTTAGACCACAGCATTTACAGCCATTTCAACAACTGTTAATTTCATTGGGTAAACATTGACTTCAGTTGAGACAGTCACAGTTTCTGTGGTGCTAAATTACTGCATGAGTTTGCTACTCAATAGTTGAGACAGTCACAGTTTCTGTGGTGCTAAATTACTGCATGAGTTTGCTACTCAATATATATTAAGATGTCAGAAGAAGAGAGGTTAAATTGTTATTGTCAACAAAATCCACGTGTTTAAAATTCTGGTTATTCTGCCTTGTAAAACAACTTTTGCTGTAGACCTTGCTGCTGATCAGTCCAGAAATTATGCAGTGTTCTTAGGCCAAGCAATACTTAAAACAACATTATTTGATTTGTTTAAAATCAATACATATATCAGAATTCATCACTCCTATAAAGGCTTCTCCTATACCAGTTTTCATGCAGGTGATATTCTTTGAAATATTGACCTACAAACAGAGAAAACAGCTTCATTACTACCTGCAGTATTACAACGCTTTTGGGGTTCTGGTTACAAAAAATCAGGTTAGAGAAACTGGATTAAAAAGGGGTCATTAAAAACTAGTAATTTGACCCTAGCAAGTACTGCTGCATCAAAAGGATGGAAAATTAATAGTAGAGGCAATAACTTTGTGGTTTACATTTATTAAGCTACACTGCTGTAAAAGCTCAGTTTACTAACAGATGACCACTATTTACTTGCAAAATCCTCAATTATACTTCATGATTACAAACTGAAGCTGATGTCCAGGTAGAAAATTGTCATTAAAATAAATTTTGTGCCAGTCATATGTCCTGTTCTTATTGTGTGCAATGTATAAGCATTCTAAAGGTATAATATTCCCTGGCTTCTCTTGAGGTGAGAAGTGAAGGAGCATTTAAGCCTCCTGAAAATCAGTTTGACTTTAGTTTTCTAAGTAAACCTTCCCACAAAAGTGGTATGTTGTTCCTATGACTGTAAGCCTTGAAATGCAGCAAGAGGAAATCACACTGAAAGGCTGCAGTTATTGACAGCACACACAGCAGAATACAGACATGAAATGAGAATTATTCTGCTTTTAATTTGGTTGCCTGATTGAATTAACTGTGTTAACATGGGTCTGGTTTATTAGCTCACAGCACTATAACAACAGGGCTATATGAATCCAGGGGCAGCAGATGGTCTAGAAGATAACTGAACTGCTCCTTTTCAGGGTGAAATCTGAGCCAGCAAATTATGCTGGGTATTTGCAGTCCACAGCTAGGTGTCCCAGCATCCCTTTTCTTGAACTGATTCACTATATAGCAATGTCTGTGGGAATAGCCTGTTCCACTTAATTTGAGACTAGAATGTACATGGTACTAGCACCATGCTAACATCACCTACCTCCGCGTCTTGGTCACAGCCCTGGGAGGGCACGAAGGGTAATAGTGATGCTTATGCTGCTGCTGTAGATTCTTGGATGATTCTGCCATGGATTATGGGAAGGATTATTCCTCAAATGTCTCACTGCATGATTAGCTCAGTTGGTTAGAGCATGGGGCTAATAATGTCAAGGTTGTGGGTTTGATTCCTGTATGGACCATTCTCTTTAGAGTTGGACTTGATGATCCTCCTAGGTGATTTCCAGCTCAGACTACTTACTCTGTGATTCTGAGCCAATGCAGATGTGGTGCTGAGTCTTGGCTTTTAGAAATCTAATATCCTGGAGGACAGTGAAAATGGCTCTATTAGAAGCTGACCTGAATGCATCAGGCTGATATTTAGTATGTTAGTAGTCCTATGGGAAATCTAGAACTTCTTCAAGGTGAGCTTGCTTCTTAGCATCTCTATTGGTAGGACTTAAAAGCAGTCCAACAGTGTTTAGCATTTTAAAACAATTGGCAGTGTCGAAAGAGGGAGTAGAACTTGGCTATCTGTTCAGGTGAATGTCTTCACCAGAGACCTAAACAGCTGTCAGCATTAGACTGTGGTTATATAAATTTAATGGGTTTGCTTGTGTGCATCATGTTTGGGGAAGGAGGGAAAAGATCTTCTAATCTTAGCTTGCTTCACATTCTGGTCACTTTGAACTGGTGACGTCTTCAGGATTTTTTTGGTGGTGTTTGTATTGGCTTGTGTTTATGCAGAATAAAGTTTTCTATCACTCTCACTTCCAGTTAGTTTATGTGAGCCATGCTGAAATGAAGGAAAATAAAATCATAGGAAGTTGGTCTGGTTTCCTGTAGGAAACCAATGAAGATGAAATTGGTTCTTGGAATGAACCCACAGTAGTCTGGGAAATACTGTCAGAGAGGACGTTTTTCTGAATCATAAATAGTGAGGACTGTGACTCATAAAGTAGGTCACTGGGAGACTGATCTGATCTTGTACATGGGAGAAAGTGAGAAAAGACTGAAACTTGTTCCTTATTAAAAACAGTAAACTTAACAGAATGATATCATCAGTAGGAACAAATTATCCAGTGTGCATTCCTGCCTGTTTTGGTGAGAAATAGGGATTAGCTCTCTGCACTGTGGCTTCACCATGAGATGTTCAGAAAACAGTAGCACATTCACTTCATGGCTAAATTAACAGTTTGGTCTTGTTTTCTCTATCCAGTCTTTTTATGTCCTCTTGCTTTGAACTGTAGTTCTCTGTGAATCTGGTGAATTGACCATGTTTTGTTTTTCATTTAATTTGGTCTTATGGGAGTTTACAGTATATTGATTCTAAATAATTATCTATTACTGTGTATAGTAGCATGCAAATAGCTTAATCCAAATTCTGTTATCTGTCACTCTATATTCATATCTCTCTGTTGAATGTCTTCAAAATCAATTATACAATTATAGTAGGTTGCCTAAAACGATGTAAATGTCTCATTTTGCAGTTTTTCAGAGGAGGCACACACATAGCTATAAAGTTGTAACTATTTTTTCTTGAAGGACAGATGATCACATCAGTGTTTGACTGCACTGTAAAGTTTTGTTTTCTTTGAGTTGTACTGAACTAGTGAAGCTGGCAAGTATTTTTTGACAAATTTCTGAATCCAAAAGGCAGTGTAACCTCAGTAAAAGCTATCTTGCTTTTAGCAGTTGAAACTTTTTCAGTGTATCTGAACAGCTAAGCTTGTTTCATGGCTTGCTGTCCTAGTAGAATTAAGTATCCTGGTCCAATTTAGCTGCAGTGCATAGGTCCTCAGAGCCAAGGAAGGAAAATCCCAACTTATGCAAAAGCCTGTGTATACCCATGTCTCTTACTGCACCCTGAATCCACAGCTGGATCTGGTTGGTGGGAAACTGGGATATCTACAGAGAGGGGAAACTTGAAGTAAAAAAGCAGAAGTTTACATCACAATTTCAACAGTTGCAGAATGGCTGAAGGTCAGAAGGGACCTCTGTAGACCAACCCCATTACTCAAAGTGGAGTTCTCTAGAATGAGTTACAAAGAACTTTTTCTGGCCAAGTGCTAAGTAGGATGGGACCCCAAAATCTCCCAGAGCAGCCTGTTTCCTCACCTGTGCAGTTCCTTCACTCTTACAGTAAAAAACCATCTCACACCACCACAAACTTTCATATTTTTAAATGGCACATTTCCTGTGTTTCAATTTTTCACCATTGCCTCACCTCCTGCCACTATATACCACTGAGAAGAGTCTGTCTCAGTCATCCTTTCCTATCCCACTTATAAGGTGGCACTTCAGACTAACCTTCTTCAGGCTAAACAACCCCAGCTCTTTCAGCTTCTTCTAATATGACAGACACTCCAGTCCTTCAGCCTTTTGTGGGCTAAGACTACCCTGACCAGCTCTTCCTTGACTGTAAGAATTGTCTGTTTGTAGCATTTCCCTTTGTGAGCTGTTCAGTCACCCACATCATTTTATCACTGCCCTTCAGAGACCATTTAGATTGCACCTTCTGTGTTGTCCTCATAACAGATATCAGGATGGTAAAATTCACCCGTGAGGACCAGGATTTAGGGGCTTTCTTAGCTTACCTGAAGAAAGCCTTATCCACTACTATATCACATTTTAAAGGCTGTTTGCATCTCCAGATTCCTCACGGTCTGAGGAATATGAACCATATGGGAAACAGGTCATCATTTTCATTTCCTATCACAGTATTTTATGGAATCCTTCTTCCTGCAGTTGTAATTGTGGTTGTGATAATTGCTGGGGGAAGATGGTGTTGTGCAACTTTATAGTGAAGAAGGTAGTGTTTGAGTCATGGCTTGGAAGCTGGCATCCTCCTGTTTAGTACACAAGTGAATCCGATAATTAAAACTATATATTGCTCACTTTCTCCTGCAGGTTTTATCAGTGTTGTTGCAGGGGCAGTACTCTTCCCCCATACTTTTCTGTCCATGCAGTTAGAATAGCTGAAAACCATCTATGCCAAAGTGTGTTGGAGCGGATGGTGTGTCTCTGAGCCTGTCTCACATGAAGAAGGCACTTTCGCTGCACAGGTACAGTGAATGCTTAGCTATGAGGAAAGTCAAGGCACTCAATAACTTAGCATGGAACTGAGTACTGAAGTCTCCTGGCTGCAGAGTTCTGGCATCCTTTCAAAGTCTCATGCTGTTCAACAGCCAGGTTTGGGAATACACCATCCTTACAGAAGAGCTCTCTATTAAAGCTCCTTATGTTGGAAACTCTTCAGTTTGCTTTTCCGTAGCTTTAAATATCTCAGTATCACTGAAGCAAAATAGGTCTTTCTGATTGCTGTCATTGTCTATTTGATGGATTAATTCTGAAAAGAACTCTTTTGCACTGGAGGTGTGTTTTAGTAGTATGGTCCCTTAAACAGGAATACTCTTCTCTAATTTGTTGGGTGGGGGTATTTTCATCACACATAAATATCATTAACAAGTAAATCTTAATGATGCTACTTCTGTTTTTGCAGAGTTTGGTTCTCATCCAGCAATGCTTTCTCTTGGCAAAAAATGGTGTTTGTTGCTG